TAAACCTTTTGAGCTTTTCATAGGAAAAAAAAGATTCTCCAATAAGGAAGAGGCAATCGAAACATTTGAACTGTTTATCACATCAAAAGATGAGAATTATTTTTAAAGATGGGATTAAGAATTTAGAGGTACGTTGGAGAACAGTCATTCATCAAAATGGTGTCTATTTCAACTAAATAAATTAGTTACTTAACATTTCAGAAACATTTTATTCATTTCCTATGAAGTGCGTCATTTCATGTGTGACAACCTAATGTTTATGTTAATAAAATAAGAGTCACACTTAATTCATAGTAATTATAATAAATTTTAGCAATAAAAAGACTTAAAAGCAGAAAATAAAACTTGGTTTCCTTAAAAAGAATTAAAAATAAAAACATTATTTTCTCAGTGACTTTTTCCTACCCTAACAAAGCATACCTTCTGATTTTTTCTATGTCAATAGTTGGGTTGCCCAACACCTCGTACTCTGTCCTGTCTTAATATCACGACTTACGTAACCTCGAGGGTCGTACGGGCATCACATGTACTACATCCGTAGTAACAGTAGTGTATCTTGGGTAAGCTAGTCTGACCAGGTTGGTTTGAAATCAGTGTCTTGCCTTCTGGACTGGTTGTCAAACAAGGCTATAGGATTCACTCTGTCCTGCTACTTATCCATATATTTTTCTCCTCAATAGGAGTAGATAGGTTCGCCTATTGCTCAGTTCACACTCCTACCTGGTCTTTTGAACAGGAGTAGAAGTTTATCCCGATTGGGATTCTGGTTCCTTAAAGCCTTCTTATTCTCTTTCACTCCCATTAGCCCCTTGCGTCTTAGTGGCATTATCGCATTGCTTGGGGTGAGATGATTTTTAAAAATATCCTGGGGCGGGGGAAAGAGATGGATTCATAATTTTCCAAATTATATTTTTACACACATAAGTGAATGCAACGAACTCGACTGGAATTCGAACTCGGTTCTCTGATTTCTCATTCCGAGCCGCTAGCCATTACCACCCACACACCATGTCTTAACAGGGCACCTTAATTTATTGTATTATTTTTTTAAATAAATTACAAAATTTTTAATATTATTTTTATTACAATTTACTTTTGTTATGTAAATTAGAAATAATTTAAATTTGAAGAAGTTCTCCTGCATATATATTTATTTATCAAATCCGGCGACCCCAAAGTCTTCCTAAACGTCTTTTTTCTCCCATCATACTAAGCAAAAAACAAAACAAAATAACGTATCTCGTCATGCTGTATGTGTGTGTGTGTGTGTGTGTGTGTGTGTGTGTGTGTGTGCATGCGCGCGGCCACTGTCACTTTCTCTCTCTCAAACACACACACAGAGTTAGAGAGAGAGAGAGAGAGAGAGAGAGAGAGAGAGACACACACACACACACACACACACACACACATTTACAAGATCAGACATAAATTGAACACTAGAACAATGGCAAAAAATTATCGCGACTGTTGTATTATTAGACAATCAACTTGAAGCGTGAATTGATCATAGGTTTCGTTTTAGGATGAAAACTAAAATAATTATTAATTCAATTCCAAGATGCTTGTTCATGGGCTCTAAACTTTGAGTAACAATGTATTCATTGTTTTCTTTGCGACAAACTCATGGCATACTTAAAAAAAAAAAAAAAAAACGAGAAAAAAATCACGTCCTCTACGTTTTTTTGCCTTTTTTCTAATTCATTTAATTTTATGAGAGAAAATGCTAATTTTTTATTTATTTTTGTTTGGTTCTTTGTATATTTTTTTTACTTTTTTGTGATGATGAGTCGTTTGGTTTATTTATTTTTTTCGTTCGAATTTATGCTTACAACACTCTCTAAAAACCTGAAATGAAAAGGTTCCCCCACCCCGACTTCTAAAAACACAAAAAGAAAAAAGCCCTTCTCGGAGCCGACACGAGCGATGTTTATCCCATCATTAAAATGTTTAAATCAACATCTTTACCCTATGAGCAACAACTTCCTCTTTTCGACTTTTTTTTTCTAATTGAGTTATCGTGTGCGCACGTACGTGTGTGCCAGCGTGTGTGTGTGCGTGCGTGTGCCAGCGTGTATGTGTGTGCACCTGTAAGACCCTTCAGCGTGTTTGCTGCTTATAAATGCAGTTGGAGTTTTCAATTAAATACGACCTTCTGTGCGTGTGATTGCGTGAGTGTTCGTAACTATACACCATCACAAACTACAAACAAATTGTTGTCGAACACTTTAGATGCAAACAGTGTAGGGAAAAGGGTATGACCCATCCCCAATACTTGGTACCGTCAATTGGACCTTCTTTTTTTCCTTCCCCGTTTCACTTTCTGAATTAAAAAAAAATTCCCTTAAAGTTAAAAATCCTTATCATACTATCCAAATCTATCTATCTAAATTTGTTCATATCTATTTCATTTTCAACTAATTCATATTTCAACTAAATTCATATCTATCTATCTATCTATCTATCTATCTATCTATCTATCTATCTATCAATCTATCTATCTATTTAATTCATATCTATTTCAACTAATTAATTCATATCTATCTATCATATCTATTTCATAATTTGTCTATTTCAACTAATTCATATCTATCTATCTATCTATATTCTATCTCAACTAATTCATTTATATTACAACTGGTTCATCTCTCTCTCTCTATCTATCTATCTATTCTAAGTCTATTCATTTCTATCTCTTCATATATATTTCATTTTTTGAATATCTACGTATAGCTAACGTTTTTCTTTACAAAATTCGTTTTTCCATCTTCTATATTGGTGTTTATAGTTCGATTCTATCTGACGAGTTTTATTTCAACATGTGCATTATTCTCTATTTTAGATCCCCCTCTCCTCCACAAATATATTGGTAGTTTGACACGTTGTTTTCCTTCCTGCTTTTCTTAATTCATTTCATTGTTAACCCGCACTTTTTCAGCCTCACTTGTCAGTTCTTCTACCCTCTATTCCTCCTCTTTCTCTCTAACATTGTATATATATCTCTCTCTCTTTATTAATCCTTTTTTATTTCTCACCTTTTATTTCAGCCTTTCTCTCTCACTCTCATTTTCTTTTTACTCTTCTTCTTCTCCTCCTCCCCTTCCTCCACCTCTCTATACTTCAAGCATTAGCGTCAGTAGCAGCTACGAAGTCGGACTTTTATATCGGTTTGCGCGTGTTTCTCTCTCTATTTCTTTCAAGAAAGAAAAATAAGGAGAGTAAGGAAAGCTTTTTGGATTCGCTCCACATACAGTCACAAAGCAAGGAAGGAAGGGGCAACACTGAAAGAGGCAGGTTGACAATGTATAAGGCCAAGGGAAAGAAGAAGAGAAAGGGAGAAAGCTGGGAAGGAGTATTGTGATGGAGAAGAAGAAAAAGAAGGTCCTTGGTTGTCTCGCTTAAAAACAGAGCCACTGACTGCGTTACTCGATCGTAAAGAAATAAGTCGGAAGAGACACAGAAATAATCACATTTCTCTTCTTATCCGTCGTCAGAATAATACACGGAACAGCTTTTTTCCTATTTTTACCCAAGGAAGCAACCGGAGATTTTCATCAATAATACAAGACCCTAAAAAGAAAAAAAAACAAGTCCTCTAGTTCCTGGAAGAAGGAAAAAAATCGCGAAATTAATAATCAATATTAAAAAAACAAAACAAAACAAAAAAAACAAACGAAAAAACATTAACACCTTAACTACATATAGGCTGGACACGCCAAGGAGATCGCATATAAAAGCATGTTGATTTACCCCAATAATCGTACATGTCATTATTATTGTATATAACCACAACATTTACTTTCCAGGTCTGAAAAAAATATCTACCCGTTTTATACCCTCCACCTGTATTAAGTTAGAGTTGGATATGTATTCCATCATTGAACTTCCGTTGTCTACATTTACTTATCTACCCGTTACTGCTGGATTTTCTTTTTTCTACCTACCCTGCTGACAGTAAGAAAAAAAAAAATACACACACGCACAACACGGACACTTAAATTAGCCTGGAGGACACACACGCCTCTGACACCTTCTGTTTCTTTCCCTCTCTGTTTCAAACAATGGATTTATATACTACACAACTACTACCATGATGCAATGGATTAGAAAGGTAATATAGATTTTTAAAAATGTTTTTTTAAATTATAATTATTACCTGTGGATGATCTTCTTCAACAAAGGGAGGGTGAGTGTTTTGTATCCGTTATTCGGAATAGTGCATATGAATTTTATTAAGATATCTAGCCTGTTTTCTCCGTTCTTCTTTATACCTTTCCCTCACGACACGGCAGGTTAGGAACGCAAGAAGACACAGGTTGGTTCGTGTTTTTTTTTTTTTTTTAATTCAAAATATATGAAAACCTTAAAAAAAAATAAAGACAAACAGCTAAACCTCGCTTTTTAAAATTCGTTTTCGGCCAACCATAACATTAACAATGTATGCTTACTGCAACTACTATGGTTTATATTGTGTATTTCTTATGGGCTTGTTTCTTCTTCTACATGACCAACGACCTGCAGTCGCCAGCAAAGTAAATCCAACCGACACAACCTACCAGGTACATGTCCATCAAGTTAGCGAAGACTACGTTCGTGTAAATGGCCCTGGGGGTAACCATCGGGCCTCTCCAGTGGAGGGAGCCCTTATTTTTGACGCGAGCTTGGAACCCGGCTGGTACTATGAGATTGATCTTTACCGTAGCCACAAAGAAATTTTGCAATTCCTTACACTGGACTCTAGCACCGGTCATGTTTACAGCAAAGAGGCTTTTAATTGTGTTAATATGTATCCTGTTTTAAGCCAATTCGGGGCTTTACATATGTATATCAGTGCCCACACTTATAGCCGTAATGATCAGCATTTGGCTAACCACACAGTAATACCATTAACTGTGTATGCGTACGGACCAGGTTGTCATCAGAATCATCGGCGAAAAAACGAATTTAGAAGTGTTCTATTACCGAATTACCAATTGATTGTTATTAATAGTTACCAAGACAAAATGGCTTATTTACCAAAGAGAGAAAATCTATTTTCGCTGGAGAGATTTATTCCACATTCGGTACGAAAAAACTTGTGTGCTGTTACCGTTCATAATACAAGAGATTTTTTTGTCAGTTCTGAAAATCACAGTATTATAGCCAAAACACTCCTCGAGCCAAACAATAGCAGACTGACAATTATTGGGGACGTTGAATATGGATGTAGTAAGAAGAATGGGGTCAAGGTTTCTTTTAAAATCTTGTACCATCTTCATAAAAATCCATCCCTTACCCCAAAATCAAAGGTGAATCGACGCAGACGTCACAGAAGAGCTACCAATAATGTAGCCCCTCAATTTATTCCCAACCATTACCACAAACGAGTGTTGGAAGAAGCTGCGAAAGGTGTCCTTGTTGGCATCATCACAGCTATTGATAAGGATACTGAAGATGCGGGAATGTTGACCTACTCCCTTATTGCTTCTCAAGATGCCCGGAGTCAGTCGATGTTTACAATTGACCAAACATCAGGGAGGATCACTACTTTGGCCAAACTTGACCGTGAACAGATACCCGTGCATTATTTTACTATCATTGCTACGGACAATGGCATCCCTCGAAAAAGTGGCAGTGCTTCTCTGACTATTACAGTCACAGATGACAATGACCACACACCACTGTTTGAAAAAGATATCTACACACGAGATATCTCTGAAAATATTGACCCAAACTCTGTTATCCTTACTGTACGAGCAACTGACAAAGATACTGGTGATAACGCAAGAATCAGGTACTCAATATTAAATCCAGATTCTCCAAATGATGCATTTTCCATTGATCCATCTCATGGAACAATCCAGACACGGAAATCTCTTGATCGGGAATCAGTCAGTTTTTACAATATGATAGTTCAAGCGATGGACCAAGGTATTATATCCAAGCGACGGTCATCCACTGCTACTGTTCAAATCACAGTCACCGATGAAAATGACAACTATCCACAATTTCAGTCAAGATCCTATACAAAGTCAATACCTGAAGACATTGATGTTAGTAGCAAGCCAGTGATCTTAAATATTTCTGCTACTGATAAAGACGAAGGTGACAATGCCAAGATCACTTATACTATCTCAGGTGGAAACAGTCAGGAATTTTTTAAAATCAACTCCTTAACTGGGGCACTGTCTTTACAGAAACCATTAGATTATGAGGACACAAATCAATATACCTTGAAAATCCGAGCCCAAGATAGTGGCTCTCCACCTAAAACTAACAGCACAACTGTCAACATCAGAGTTGAAGATGTAAATGATAATGTACCCACCTTTTTAGGTACTTATCACGAATCGATCATGGAAAACAAACCTATCAACACAAGTATCCGGCAAATACAAGCATTTGATCCTGATTCTGGTATGAATGCTCGTATGACTTTTAAAATTGTTGATAAACCAGCATACCTGCCACTGACAATTGACCCAAAAACAGGTTGGATACGGACAACTGCCATTTTAGATCGGGAAAATGCAACATCTTATAGGTTCATTGTAGAAGTTAAAGATTCTGGGAAGCCTCCAAAGTCTGCCACGACTGAAGTGATCCTGATTATCCGAGATGCTAATGACAATGCGCCAGTGTTTAATCCGAAAGAGTACCATGTAAACGTTTCAGAGGAGGCCAACCCTGGGGAACGTGTAGTTATTGTGACTGCAACTGACCGAGACGAGGGAGAAAATGCAGTTCTTACTTATCGTATAACCGATGGAAATATTAACAGTGCCTTTCGGATTATCACAAGTGAAGGGATCATATTGGTCGCTAAGACGCTGAATTATCGAGAACACAATAGGTATTCTTTAACAGTCACTGCCACAGATCCTATTGGAAACCAAGATGTTGCAGAAGTTTTTATCCAAATCATTGACACCAATCGTTATCGGCCAAGGTTCCAGAATACGCCATACCGTATTAGTGTCTCAGAAGATGTACCCGTCGGGAAATCCATTTATGAGGTATTTGCTCTTGATAAAGACGTAGGGGAAAATGCACGGATTACTTACAGCATGGACCCCACAGATGTGTTTGCTGTGGACCCTAACAGTGGAATTGTGCGCACAAGGGCAGCCCTAGACCGAGAAAAGCAAGCTGGTTACACAGTGAGCGTTACAGCTACTGACCAGGGTAAGCCACCGAAGATGGATACCACAGATCTGGTGATCACCATTGAAGACGTCAATGACAACCAACCAGAATTTAAGAAAGTACGCTACTCAGGAACTGTCCTTGAATCAGCTGAAATTGGAACGCGAGTGGTGGAGATTTCAGCCAGGGACAAAGATGCAGGACGTAATGGTCAGATTTATTATACGTTTGAGAATGGAAATGATGGGAACGGTGATTTTGTTATTGACAGCACGCAAGGAGCTATCCGAATGAATAAAAAACTTGATCGTGAACGTGTGTCCAGCTATGAACTGGTGGCCTATGCTGTAGATCGAGGCAGCCATCCATTGTCGTCATCAGTCATTATTGATATTAATGTTGAGGACGTCAACGATAACAAACCAATGTTTGAAGCCCCAGAAATCAGGGTGAGTATTGCAGAAAACAGCCCCATTGGCTCAACTGTTGCTAAGCTCACAGCAAATGATCCCGACGTGGGTGAAAATGCAGAAATTGAGTATGAGCTCAAAGATGAAGATGACAGAGATTCGTTCGAGCTGAGTGGTCGGCCAGGATCAGCTGCTATCATTATCTCTATGGTAGATCTGGATTATGAGTCTGACAAAAAATTCTACAGGCTCTCACTGCGGGCCATCTCCAGACCACTTTTCTCTGATGTGACGGTCATCATTAGTGTTGAGGATATCAATGACAATAAACCTGAACTACAGGACTTCACAATCATTGTTAATAATTTTGTCAATTATTTTCCAACGGGAGTCATTGGCAAAATCCCAGCCTATGACCCGGATGAAATCAATCAGAACACCCTTGTCTATTCATTTGTTTCTGGCAATGAGGGTAACCTCTTGCATCTTAATTCATCAACTGGGGATATTACTTTGGATTCAAGGTTAAATTCGGATGTGGCTCGAAACGGAACTTTACAAGTCTCTGTCTCAGGTGAGTACCTACTTTTTGTTTTATTTTTTTATAATTATGTAGCGAAAAGAAGCAAAATAGAAATTAATGAAAAAAACAAAAGAAAGTGTGGAAATGAATAAGGGCCTTGAAGAAATTTTTTAGGAATTTGGTTTAGGAACCTGAAGATAAAGCAAGGTTCAAGGGGGATCCAGGTAAAGTGCATCATCCAAAGTTCGAGAATGCATTCTGCTGAGTTTATATTTCAGAAGAAATATCCACTCAGCATAAAAAATTTAGAAAAAATCTGTGTGCATTTTTATTCACACACACACACACACACACACACACACACACACACACACACACATATATATATATATATATATATATATATATATCTGCATCCAAACATATTTCATTGAATAATAAGACATATTGTGTCTACTTATTTTTATACTGATACTTTCCAGTTGTCTAATCAGTTTCTTGATGTTGAGATGAAATTCATCAATGAAGGCACAGAAACATATTTTCTTCTGAAATGATTTAATCATGAGATTAAAAATTTAAAAAATCCATTAAAAAGCAAAATTAAATCATAAAAATGATAAAATGCGTTTTTTCTTCTTTTCATAATAAGATTTCTAATAAAAAAAAATCATGTCTCGCTTTTTTTAAACATGTCTAATAATTTTCTCTTATTTAAATTACAAAAACTTTTTGGGCCATTTTAAAAAATTACCAGAAGTAGCCTTAAAATTTTGAACTGTTGTGTGTATATATATATATATATATATATATATATATATATATATATATATACATACACACACACTCACACAGGAGTTTTTAAAAGAATTTTTTTAATTTGACATTTCTTATAAAGTAGTTGTAACAAGAGATGTGCATTCATTAAGTACTTAGTTGAGCTTTGCTTTTTCATGACTGTCTTCCATGGCTAAATTGGTAACAACACACTTCGGTTATAGGAATATTTCTGATGCAATAAGGAGATATAGGCTTGATTCTTGTTAGGAGGCACAATTTTAGGCTGGTTGATATTAATTTTACTCGATAAAAAAATAAAAAATGAGATGTCAGGTCAAACACATGAACCCAATATAAATAAAATTCATAGTAATATATATATATATATATATATATATATATATATGTGTGTGTGTGTTCACATGCATAAAAATTTCTATATAAGTAAGTATTAATATATCTGCAAAGATAATATTAATATAAGAAACATATATATATATATATATATATATATATACACACACATACACACAAGTTTTGTTAAAAAAAAACTGACAACATACTGCAGTTAAGTTTTTTATTCAATTTTTCTTGTGTTCTTATAATTTTTTTTCTGGGCATAAATTATGTAGATATTGTCCGAATGTTCTGGGTGAGCACTAATATATAGGACTATAAAAATACATTTTAAAATGTTACATAATGTCTGTAATGAGTCTGACCATAATTTTGATTATAAAATACTACTCTAATTAAAAGAGAAAGTAATTTACTAAGATGAAAATATACAGAAAGTGTTGTAATCAGTAGATCATCCACAGTAAATATATGTCCAGTTTCTTATAATATTTCACGTTTCTTGGTAATCTTCTTTTATTACAATGTGGGAGATTTAATAAGAAAAGTGATGGAAATATAAACAAAAAGAAAAGAAAACAAAATAAAAATGGCTATACTATATACACAAAACACATATTTAAAAAAAAAACATTTTGAATTTAAATTTAAAATTCCACCATCCCCTCTCTTTTATGTGCATGTGCAATCACATCAGCATAGAAATCAGTTTTTACTGCAATGAGGTCTTAAAGGACAAAATGTGTCACATGAAAAATTTGTTCTACTTTATCATAGATTTTTTTAGAATAATGTATATCTATACAAATATACACATAATTTATACATATGTAATATATTATACAATATTGAATGTACTTTTTCTTTTTATTAATCTATCTATCTATATGTATGTATGTATCTATATATGTATGTTTTATTACGTGAGGTATTGATAGAACTTTTTCAAAAAAATTAAATATCAGAAAAAGTATTCCACTATTGAGAAGGAATGTTTAACATCATTGTCTGCTCTTCAACTTTTTCTGGTTTATCTCAATGTTACTTTTCATCCAATTCTTTTATATACTGTATACACGTAATAAAATACCATCAATTCCCATATCACTGGAATCATATATATATATATATATATATATATATATATATATATATATATATATATATATATATATATATATTTTTTTTTATATATATATATATGTTTTTTTTAATTTGTATCACCCCATGCAAGGCAATAAAGCCACTAAGACACAAGAGTTTACACTTTACAGTGTGTGGAAGAATTAAGAACAGAAATATTACTAATGAGTGGGAAAAGAAAAAAGTAATCAGGAGGACAGTAAATAGCAATTGACATTGCATTTAAATGTTTGCAGATTAAAGTTGGCTGGAAAGCATGGAACCAGTAGGGAGTTCCACTAGTGAGAATTGCAAGAAAAGAAACTGTTATCATAGAACTTACAGTTACATCTAGCCAACTCAACTGTAAATTGATGAGATCTCGACGCCAGTCTAGAACTGCACTTAAATTCATAAAGTCTAGATACCATAGCGAAGAGCTGATCCAAACAATTACCATGAAAGTATTTATAGAAAAGACACAGAGAGGCAACCTTAGATATATTTCTAATATATATCTATATAATGAATGGGAAAGTTAGTGTGTCGCTGTGTCATACTTTTTCAGCTTTACTCCTAGAGGCTGTATCCCAACACATCATTTTGGAATCAGGCTGGCTCCATGAGCAAATTTAAAACATTCTGAGCCGGATCCATACCCGCAAATTTTCATTACTGTAGTTGTTTCGATTTTTTTTTTTTTTTTTTTAACGTGATTTTTTGCAACAAATTTTAACTTGGAAATAAATTTGGGAATAATTGAAATTAATTGCAAAATCCAGCCAAAGTCACCCATAAAATAATTTTTGTACAGAAAGTAAAAACCTACATACATCAAATTGTCTTTAAATTAAGTGGCAGCAGAAGAATTAGCAGTGAACTTTTAAAATGTAAGCTTAAATATTAATAAAATACTTAAATGCAGCAATCAATTTTGAGTTCTTCTGTAGTTTATTGTTGCCTATTGCATCTACTCCTTCCTACCTATTCTGATGAAGGCCCAATCAAGAGCCCTCCACAGGAGCTAGCTTAAATGCTGCCTGACATATATACGTCTGTATTCCACATGTTGAATAAAAGCGTTTTCTTTGAAGTTCCTATTATATAAGTAAATATGAGAGGCATATGAAAAACCTGGAAGATTCTTCTCAGGTCTTAAAATTTTAATAAAAGCTGGTTTCATTTAATCAAAAACCAGTCACATAAAACCAGATTTTATTGCTCAATTTCAAAGCACAACAAGTATTGTGGTTTTCATATAAAATTAAAATTCAGAAGTTTGGAGTTTATCCTACATCAGACTACTTCACTCAGATTAACCTGCTGATGGCAATCAAATACTGACATGTGACTGTGCCATGGGCCCATATGAAAATATTAATCACAGAATGCAAATAGCTTTAAAAAATGTCACAATTTAATTTGTATAGGTGACCACATACCAATAAAATCCAGAATATTTCAAGTCGAATGGTTAATGTCCTGGCCTTAGTAAAGTTTTCTGAAAAAAAGTGGCATTTACATTTAAAATAAATACAGTGTGTGTGTGTGTCCTTTATAGGTTAAGTAGGTGTAAATGTATGCAGCATTTTTTAAAAAACAAATTGTTTTTTCTATTTTAGATTTAGTCCTTTCATTAAAAAAAATAAGGAGCTGTGAACTTTTGCATATATATATATATATATATATATATATATATATATATATATATATATATATATATATATATGGACATCAATCCTTCTTTTATACAAGTTTTGTTAAAAATGACTTATAAGATACTGCGGTTAAGTTTTTTATTTAATTTTTCTTGTTTCCTTTAATTATTTTCTTTTCTGGGCATAGATTATGTAGAAATTGTCCAAATTTATGTCCAGAAATGAAAAAAATTATAAAAACACAAGAAAAATTAAATAAAAAAACTTAATTGCAGTATCTTGTGATTTTTTTTTTTTAATGAAATTTATTTATATATATAGTGAGTGGTTTTGATTTGAGAAGTTTGATTTGTTTTTTTTTTTTTTTGTTTTTTTATGGCTTATCAACTCAACCCTTCATACCGAATCATTTTGAATTGCAAGAATGATTCTTCTTTTGTGAGTGAATATTACATTAGCAATTTTTGAAAATAACAATGCCCAGTCTTCACTTTCCACTCTCAGTCCAAAAGTCTTTCTGCATCCTTCTGGGGTGACAAATTATTTTCTACCCTAGAACTCCTTTCTCACAGATGAGACATTGTAAGACTGTCTCTACTTCATCGCTACTTCCATGGAGAGTGTTCAGATGAACTACACTTTTTATTTTAGTCAGTCATAACTTTCATGGTTAGGACCTGTCATACCATGCATATTGTAGCAACCCACCGCCATTCCCTTCATATTTCTTTGGTGAGATGTAAGTTTCACTCAAGCAACTTCTTTTCACAAACCACTGACTTGTTGAACCAACTCTCAAGAGGTTACTTCCCCAATCATTACAATCTTAAATGTTATCTTCTACACATAACCACATAAGCTGTGACTCTTACTCTGTAACCCTCACAGTGGGTCTCAGGTCTTGTACAGGTTTAATATCATTGAAAAAAAAAAAAAACTTCTGTGATATACCTCAAGAAGCTGTCTCTTCCTCAGTACTTACGTGACTGAAATTATTTATTCCTATAAGCCTTTGACAGACATTGTTTTTTTAATCTCCATGTTTTTGTGAATGTTATCTTCCTTTACTGAAATGTTTACCTTCTCATGAGATATTTCTGGAATCAATGGCTTCTTTATTACAGACTGTAATAT